CGGGCCTGGCCCGCGCGGGGGTAGGGACCTCCGGGACAACAATTCTGTTTTATAAAGGCTCTCTGTTGTTGAGGCTGTTCTCTGCATGCCAGGGGCTTGTGGCAACTCTCAACGAAACAGCTGGTTAGCTGGAGGTCGCTTTCTTTGGGCAGATTATGTTGTGCCCGCGTAGGCTGCCCCAGTGTTTYCTACTGGGTGCCTTACTGCACACTCCGGGTCGTGACGGGCTCTGCGGGGCCCGAAGGTGGGTGCCCTCCTTCTGCTGGGGGCCGCGTGCCAGCGACGGATCAAGTGATCCCTCTCATAGGTGGTTTTGTATCGTCCTGTCAGGTACTTCGGGGCCATTACGTGAAAAACTACGTAAGTGTCATTTATTATTGTGATTGCCTCTCATCTTGGGTAATTTAACAGACATAATGTTCTCCTCCACGTCAGCAGCATCACGTTTGTTTCTGTGGTTATAATCAAAGGTGGCAACAATGGCATTCAGATGCTTAATTACATTTCGTATAGATGACCAGTGTTAACTTCTTTAATTAGCACGCGGTGGAGCAGGAGCAGGCACGACTGCTTCCCTCGGTGGTTAGCAAGCCATCGGCTTGCTCCTCACACACCCAAATCTGTACGTATTGAACCATATGGCACCCGGGAGTTCTGCGTTTATTAAGGAGCTCTGGCTCTGAACACTGTTGTATTTTATCTCTTGTTTCACTTTGTGCAGATCTGTTTGTTTTTCTCCATCTTACAAAACTTGAACACGCTTCATTTTTGTAATGAGCTGAAATAAAGACTTTTTTTCTGGTTTCAGGAAGGCAGAGCAAGGTAGAATTTTCCATGCCTTGAACTAGTCACCTGTCCGACAGATAGAAGGGTCTAAATAGCTAGAAATCCATCTAAGATGTGGAAAACGGAGGTTCAAATCCACAGTTTGATTTGGAGCAGAGATTTGAACTTAGATCTTCTATGTGTCACATGCTCTAGTGTCCCTGCTGGAGCAAGGGTTTGGACTGGATGATCTCCAGAGGTCCCTTCCAACCTCAACCATTCCGTCATTCTGTGAATACCCAAGTCATTTTATCGATTGCGTTGGGAAGGAAAAGAGAGTGTCCCATCCCTCTAGTTCTAGTAATAAACTTCATTTTTCTACTCAAAACTGCTAAGGTAGGTTTCCTTGTAGCATCTTGCTTTAGCAGATCATTGATTTCTGGTCACACATTAAAAAGCTTTTCAGAATTTACCAAGCAGCAGCCATGTCATTGCTCTGGTACCTGTCAGTACATGGGTAATAATCCAAGAAATGCATTTATCCTAGCAGTGGCTGGGGTATGTATGAAAGTGTAGTTATTTAAGTGTTTTTAAGAAGAAAGACCACCACCACACCATCTCATATATGACAGTTTTAACAAATCTAAGTTATTATTAAATTTTGACCTAAAAAAATATCATATTTTTAGGTCGAATCTCAGAAGCTGATGTAGAATCATTCCTCTCAAAGCCTTTCTTAACCTGTGTTCTTCTTTACTGTCTTCCCTACAAACCTGACCACAGAGTTCATTCTCCTGAATTTTCTGGTTACTCATTTACAGTCTTGACTAAGAGACAGTAATGAACATGACTCTTATATTGCATAGATCTGTATGGTCAGCAGGACGGTGTCTGCTGTGTGTTGTTGTAGATTTCCATCCCTTTTATCATTACTTCTGAATCTAAAGATTTATAGAGCGATTTGCTGTGATTCTTGGTGAAGTTGCTGCACAAATGGGTGATAATGCACCATCCAGCAGACTTAGTGAAATATTTTAAGTTTTTGAGAAAATATTTAAGCATATGTGACCCAGAAAGAAAACCAATTAAAGTCAATGAGAATAAAAGTAAAATTAGCTTCATGCTTAAGTTTTGCATTTGAAATTTAGAAGAAATGAAGATGAGAGACGCCTTGCTGAAAAGCACAGAAGATTTTCTCGTATCATGTTGTCCTGGCAGGAAAACGAGTACGTGCTTGTAACGCTGCACCCATTAGAAACAAACATGATTCTGTTTAGGGCTAAGAACACAAATGCATGTGGCAGCATGCAGTACTCAGACCATATTTGCATATATTATTATATAGCATAATGTGACTTTGCTCTTGATTTTTGGCCTAAAAACACTGTGTGACCATGTAAAATATAATTAATGTAATGTTGGAGCCTAGGGGAGATTTTTTATATGACCTTTTATCAGGAGTAATTCTGGAAGCTGCCCAAATCCCCTGAAGTTCTTACAAATAAGATGTTGATGAAGAAAATACTTGTGGGATGTTGGTCTCGGATCTCTCCGGGAAAGAGAAATTTCAGTTCGACTTTGCTGTAAGAAGCTGAGATGTTGAGACTGCTACCTGCACAGACAGGTCTGAGTAGGTAAAAAAGCCTGAGTCCACTGCRTTAGAAAGAGCTGAACTTCAACCTAAGAGAAGAAGTGTGCAATGTATTAAATGCTAGGGCTGTTGCCCAGACTCTGTCTTTGGGACAAGTCTTTGGATTCCTGCGTGGTCACATGGAGGTCCCAGAGGTGAGCCCCAACCACGAAATCCATGTGGGAGTTGGCTCAGGGCCTGAGCAGGGCCCAGATGTGACCCTCCCAGCCCACAAAACTGGAAGATTTGTGCCGTCAGCTAAGCAATGGAGACACCATGCAGTGGGAATTTCACTTCTCAGCTTTCAGGTGAATGTTTAAAAGCTTTGCTTCTCACTTGCCCAGTTCCTGTAAGTATACTTTGACTTTTCACTTAYGTCTATTAGTGTTTAAATTTCTCTTATATTGCAGTTTAAGTGACTTTGCTTTTATAGTGTAGCACACTGCCAGGCCTCACTCAAGGAAAGTGAAGAGATGTGGGTTTTCTCTACCCCTACTTYCTATACATGATTTCAGCTGGAAAGATAATGTAAGGCCTAAAAGGGATCAGCAAAAGGATGAAAGATGAGAACAGAGGCTTTCCTGAAAGAAAAGGCACGAGGAAGCTGCTTTCAACCAAAAAATAAGTCCTTCTCTTACAACCTCCAAGACAGAGCTTAGCACTAATGTTTTATGTGTACTTGGCTGCTTTGCTAGGCTTCTGCCTGCCACTGTAGAAGTCTGTAGCACTGGTCTACATCTCTCGTACTTTATCTTCAAAGCAAATTTTGCAACATGATGCAAAGTTTTATTTCTAGTGGTCGCCCTCACTTCAGTTGGATAATAGCTTCCTGATTGCTGAAAACTTATTAAGACTATGAAGATAGTGAGGAGTGAAAGCTCTGCCTCTGAATGGATCACATTATTTAGCTTGGCACTTTTYTTCTGAGCTAATTTGAAGTTCAAGAAATCATGATAGTCTCAGGGCTCTGCTTTGGCAGAGGAAAAAGCATAATACAACTTCTGTTGGTTTAGTCTGGGGAGGATATTATGACTTAAATGGGAATTTACCTTCAGAGAAACTCATGTGCCAATTTTGTCGAAGAGAGTTTGCCCAGAAACTAACATTTCCTCATAATCTTTCTAACTCATTTCCAAGATCTGTTTCTTGGGCAAAATAACCCCAAATGTGATTTGCTTTTGTCTGGCATCTTGTATAACAGAAAACTTCAGTGGGACCGAGAGATGGCCATTGGAGAGTGTGGTATCATGGATTGTTGGACAGGTTTGTAGCCTTAGGCACCGAGGGAAATGCTGGGCTGAATGACCCAAAGGAGCCCAAATCCGTCCCCCTGGAACAAGTTCAGTGCTGCTTGTGCTCTCAGCCAGTCAACTGTGGACTCTGCTCAGTKCCCGTAGTAGCTGTTACCTGATACTGTGCATGGGCCAAAGGCCACACTCACTGAAACCCGTGTAGAACTTGGCTTCTAGGCATGTGTGTTCTGTAATAGGAGCTTGTAAACAAAGTTTTGGAGAAGATCGAGTAGATCTTGAACCTGTCTTGTCAGAGAAGTTAGAAAATGTGCTTGTCAGGTGACAAAAAGAAAGTTCCTCCCATCCMATAAACCCCTCTGAATTTGGCAGAAGCATTGGGAGTGAGAGAAAGAAGTTACTAAAATCCTAGTGGAAAGTATCAGTTACTTAATCTACCCATGTCAACCCGAACGAGTACAGGTAATGCCAATACTTCTAACCCCTTCTATGCTTTGTGTTTTTTTTTTTTCTTATAGCAAGAGCATCCTGCATATTTTTTTTTAATACCCAACAGTTTTTTTTTAAGCCTTTAAATACAGTGAAAACGACTTTCAGTTGCACAGATGTGGTATTTTTATACTGGCTTGATTTGGACCAGTTTAAGATAATTTTTAAAACTTCTTCCTGACATACTCTGCTCTTACCCGCTGTCTCTTCTCTTCTGTTGTTTTACCAACCTTTTTTTGTCATCACAAAGTGTTCACATGTGGGCAATGGTGACATAGCAGGGACTAGATAATAGATAGATAATAGCAATTAACTATGGATGTGTCATATATTTCTAAACTGAGGCTTTTCCATGTTCTGCAGAGGTCACTCAAAGCATTTACCTCTAGCTGTAAATAATATAAAGCAGGCCTGTGTCATGCCATGGTTTTTGGGACTGTGTGATTATGCAAGGAAAGGCCCTTTGGAAAGGCCCCTCATGCAGATGGGACCTTATTGCTAAATGGCAGCTGAATTTAATTTTTTGTATTGTAGATAAATAACTATTGAGCTTTTCTTATGGCTTTGTTGTAAATTTTCTTTCACAGCTATCTGGATGTYGTGTTGCTATAATACCATATTGTAACGTAATGACAATAAAATGATTCCCATGCAAGTCTAAGGAGAATGTGTGCTAATACCATTAAATTATGCTTACAATATCAAAGCAAATGCATTAACATGTGGAAACTGTATTTATGCGATTATGATATTGTAGCAACATGGGATTACTGTAGGAAACGGCTAATTGAAACCTAGGGAGACTTCCCATTACATGGCCATTAAAATGATACAGTAACTGAAGTGCAAATTTCTGATGGGAAGAGTGGAGACCCAAATCCTATCATTGGTATTCATGTAAATTTACTGTAGTTTTTCCCAGTGTGAGGAATGTAGTTCCTTTTAGCAGTAATTCCATTTCCTCCTCATAATACCTTTAGGAACAATATTTACTTCACCAGTATTTAACAATAGCCTGAGAGAGACTTATTTTATGCGCTATACAATCAGTTGTCATAAAAATGTGTCCAGAGTTTATTACAGGCTGTGATGAAAAATACTGATTTTGGTTGTATATTAAAGGCCTTCTCATTTCCTTGTGTTTGAATCTGTAATTTTTAGAGATTATAATTTAAAATCGTAATTTAAATATATTTATAGTTTAAAATTGTAATTTCTTTATTTATGTAGTGCWTAGAACAGAGAAGTCTTGGCCTGATCACCAAGCTTTTTGCAACCACAGTATAAAGTAATGGTTTCCCAAAGCAAGATACCTAACAGGAGGCCAGTTTATCCTTGTGATAGGAATATGCTACCCCTTTTTATTTCCAAACAAGGTCAGCATTCAGGAAATATAATTGATGTGTTTTATGGAGGGCCATCTAAAATACAAATATCTTGTCCAGGCCTGTTTCTTGACTCTACAGTCCATGGAAGGAGGCAGCTATTTCTAGCAAGTAACTTGGCCTATTCTATTTGATAAAAAAAAAAMAAAAMCACTGGATGAATTGCTTATAGAGATGATTTCCTCTCTTTCTCTCTCTCTGTGAAAAAGAAAGTTCTATATGATTATTCTGGACAAGATATCCACCATATTAGATGGCTAGAATGAGTTGATAGGATTTAAGTCTCCTGTATGTGTACCCAGAAAAAGAAAGTCGTAGAATAATTAAACTGTAGAAAAGTTGTAGAAGTTGTAGAGTTCAAATAATTAGTAAAGCACATGAATGTTGATTTCTGTAGCAACATTTATGTCCTTAAATTAAGCAACACTTTTTACTCAATTGAAAAGCTGTTTGCAACTAAACTCTAGTTTAAGGACACAAATTATGGTACCATCAGGTGAATGTTATTAAAGATGATGTATCGTTATAGCATATAATGTGTCATTATAATCATGGCATGCTGTCTTTTCAAATGACAGTAGAGGTGATATCAGGGCAATGATTTYAAAAATAATTCCAATCAGAAGCTACTGGTTACTTTTTTTTCATATGTTTTTAATTAAAAACTGTGGCTTTAGGAAACTTAGCAAGCAAGTACTGGCATTAACTAATAGTAATCTTGTTTATGAGGAAGATAAAATTAGGCCTACTTTAAATGTTGCTTGCTTCAGTTTCCGTCTTTGTGATGCTTCTTACATTTATAAAAATAATCTAAAACAAAAGATCTGCAAGTATGTGTTAGTTCTGTGAAAATGATRTAGTCTAAAATTCAACAGGTAGCAGAACTTTCCCTCCCCTGTTGTAAATGAGAACGCAGGTTAGATGTAGATCCTCTCCCACAACCTCGGGTCTTCATAGGATTCAGACCAGATTAATTGAGACTAATCTACTTTAACTAGGTCAGAAAAGAACTAGCACCTACAAGTGTGAAAAATCAGCATTTTATCAAAATTGTAATCTGAAAGTGAGCGGAAATTCTGAGGCAGTTAAAATGGCTTTATTGAATAGCAACACTAAAAAAAATACGGTGGAAGCTTCCTAAGAAGGTAGACTCTAATCACTTAGTATCTAATATTGTTATAAGGATATCATTATTCTTATGTTTAAATACTTGTATACTTCATTATATGCCAAAATGGACTTGTCCTATACAGAATGTACTGTCAGTGAACACGTGGGAAGAAAAGTGTGTTTCTGGTACAGAATGTAAATATCACTCTTCATGCTCTCAGGGTGTAACTAAATACCAGAGCATAGATATTTACTGAAAAAAAAGAAAAAAAAGTCTGCAGTTATCTATGTCTGTGCTGTGAATGCAAGAATGATTCAGATCATTGAACTTTCTCCAGACTTGTGGGTTGCTCTGTGGAGAGCCAGCTTTATTCAAGAACTGAATTAATGACTAGGTTAGGCAAGTTAATTGAATTGTAGCTAGCAGCCGTTTCTGACTAAGACAGGTATTTTGCTTTTAATTATTTGCTCAGGAATAATATTTTCTGAAATCATGCACTTCTTAATTTATTTGGAAAAAAATCATTATATTAAACCACCAGCAGTCTGTTCTACCAAAGTAATTATTCTCCTGCCTTCTCAAACAAGTCGACACGTTAGTCCACAAATGAAATTCATAAAAAGAGCAATCCTTTCTCAGTGGGCTTTTCATCTATGTCTGCTTATACACAAGGCAAGCAAACACAGCCAGTCCTGTCTCTTTCCTAAGGGTGGCCAAGTTTTCCTATTTAAACAACTGGAGAGTCTTCACTAGGCCTGGGTTGGTCTGTGACAGTGACAGGCTCGTGAAGGGAGATGTCTCCAAAGGGATGGAGATCGTCTTGTGCCCTTCAATATGGGGAGTTCAGTGCCCTTCAGACTGCAATTTTTCTGTCATCCTAGCAGATTAACACTAGCAGTTAAAAGGAGAAGGTCCTCTGAGCACTTCAGCACTAACAACCCCATGTTTATGATATTATTCACTAAAAGAGAGACAGAAACAGGAAAGACCTCTCTCTTTAATCAATAATGCATGCTCTAGTTAGTCCTGTCCTCTGGACATGATTAAGCATGTATTTTGTTTTGCAGCTGCTGATTTTTGTTGACTTGGGATTATAACTGCATGTCCTCAAGCCTTTGCAACTGGCATCAGGAAGATCTAACATGAGCTGGGTAGTCAGCTATGTTTAATGTTCGTGTGACACACACACTAAAAAGACCCCCCTCCCCAAGAAAATCCTTCCAAATCCTAATGGAGAGAGATGCAGCAAATTCTAACCTGTAGAGATTCACGCTGTACTTGTAGAGACCAGATGCTTTTGACATAAACCGATGCTAGGCAGTAGCCTCAAGGTCTATCTTTGTCACTAGTCATTTGAAGTTTGGAAAAATAACATGATTTAATTTATATTAAAGTTGAAGAAAAGGAATCTTAGAGGCTGAGTCATAGAAATGAAATGTTAGGYTAAGATTTGTTACTAACTGGTAAAACAGTTCTCCAGTGAAGCTGACAGAAAACAAGACTTTCAAAGTAGATTGGAGTTTCTGCCTTGCTGTTTGGGGACCAAACTCACTTTTGAGTTACTGTTGGCCATCTTTGAAGAGTTTCGTTGGGGTTACTCCTGGCTTACTGGATGTGGGTGGCAGGAGCCTTGATGCCAACTGTAGAAGATGTCATCTGCACACATTCCTTATGCAGAGGGGCAGGCAAGGCACATGGGCGTGGGGCTTCTCTCATCATCAGAAAAGGATAGTGGGTCTTGAGGGACAAGAACCACAGAATGGCTGAGGTTGGAAGGGGCCTCTCGAGATGGTCTAGTCCAACCAATAGGGACACCCAGAGCACGGGGCACGGGGTGGCATCTGGGCAGGTTTGGAAGATCTCCAGAGAGGGAGACTCCACAACATCTCTGAGATCACAGATCAATAAAATAAAGGTATCATTAAAGAATATTTAGTCTTGATACCAAGTGTGTTCATCTGGTGACTCAAGCTGACAAAATATCAGAGCTGCTGAAGAGCAAAGAATCCTAAATGAATATACAGTGGTCCTTATAAAATAGGAAACACTTATCTTAATATGAWATTGACATCAGCACAGTATACGATAATGATTTATTGAAATGAGACATTTTGACATTGTTCAAATACTGATACAAGGTTACTTGGGTTACATAAATGCTTTGGTTTTCTTATTCACAGTAGTTAGTAGGATAGAGTACTGCAGTTTGAAAACGCTCTGACAAAAGTGTAGTGTCTGTGTAAATACATGAAATATGTGAGAGTGGAGAGAATCCACGGAAATTATATGAGAATTTGCAGCTTTTTCTCAGATATTTTCATTATTTTTTCTTCTTTCCCAGACTTATAATTTTTTCTTTTTTTTCTCTCTTTTCAGATTGCTGAAGAAAAATGCCTTCCTTGGGAGGAAAAGTGCAGACTGTCTTGGGCCTCGTTGACCCGGACCAGCTTGGCTACACRCTGACTCATGAGCACCTGAGTATGAACTACAGCAGCTGCTACGTGCCCCCGCCTCCAGGCCAAGAACCTCTGTCCGAGGGGCCCATCGAGATGAAGAACYTGTTTTGGATTAAGCAGCATCCCTACAGCCATAAAGAAAACCTGCTTTTGTCTCAGGAAACTGCTGCCATAAAGGAGGAGCTGTTGCTCTTTAAAGCAGCAGGTGGTGGGACCATAGTGGAAAACACCACAGTGGGAATTGATCGGGATGTGAATACCCTGAAGAAACTTGCTGAAGAAACTGGAGTCCATATTATTGCTGGGGCAGGTTTCTATGTGGATTCCACTCACTCTTCTCATACGCAGGCCATGACAGTGGAGCAGGTAACTCTCCACCAAAATCCCTCTCCTGTGATTTATCCTTGAAAGAATCAAAATTGGCAAAAAATCCAAACAAAATAAATTTAGAAGTTCTGAACATGAGGAAGGGAGGACAATAGTATTTTGCAGCTTGGGTGTTATAGCTGGGCCAGCACTATTTGTGTGTGCTGGGATTGTCTGTCAGCATTTCCCTTTCTTAAGCTCCGTTTTCTCTCAGGGATTTGTTATAATGCAAGAGGAAAAATAAAATAAAATAAAAATCTTCTTGTGTAGGCATCTGGTACAAGTCCAATTATCCTGTCTTTTTACAGGTTGTAAGGAAGAAGTAAATCCCTTCTGCCTCTTTTGTCTCTTTTTCTGGCTAATTGCTTCCCAATAAGATCACCCTAGATTCTTGTGAAAAGCATAAATAATTGTGATATTTCCCAAGCAGTTGTAAGTCATCTCTCCACTCAAGCTGCCTGTTACACTTCTCTTCTCTACCATTTTCCAGGCCTTTATAAGCAGAGGCTACATCCTGTTGTTTGCAGAGTGCCCAAGACCATGTGCTAATAATGACCCTGCTCCCCAGATACTTCTGTAATAATAAATTCATTCATCTTTTATTAAGAAAAGGTGATGATAAGAGAAGAGGGAGTGGGACTCTCCAAGGCAGGAGCCTGTGGATGTGAATGAATAGATCTAAGAAAAAAAAAAGAAATTAAAAAAAAAAAGAATCTGTCATAGATTCATAGATTACAAAGGAGTCTAATTTGCCTTAAAAATAAATGGTCAGTACCTCAGCAAATGTAAAATGATGGAGCTCTACCACCCTCCCTTCACTGAGCTCTGTGAAACAGTCCTGCTTTTCCCAAATATTCTTGCACCCCATGGAACTGGATGCAAGCAGATCTGTTAGGGCAGAGGTTTCTGTATTTGATGGACTGCTGAAGACCCGCAGACTGCTCACTAGCCAGCAGTTGATCAGTGCTCAGTTCAGTCCAAAAGGCAGGTGTTTCCTCCACAGGATTGTGCTGTGATGTTCCATGGTGATAGGTACATTTGACATGATCTCTTTTTTGATTGTGCAAAGATGATTTTAGTGTTTTCTTGCTGACCTTCAGCTGTGCAAAGGAAGGACTCAGCTGTGTACCTGTCCACCCTGTGAGGGTCCAGCCCGATAGGCTGTCAGTGACACGAGATGTTGCAGCAGAAGAGATGGTTTGAGGTTGCTATTAGGAGAGAAGTGAATTCTGTACCTGGCTTGGTTGCTTGGTTGATTGGCTATACATGAAGCAAAAGATGCCTTTTCACGGGATGAAGTACTGGCCAGAATCTCATCTGCTGTAAAATGAAGTTTCTTCAACTGGTTTCAGCATGTAAATTGAATTTCTACCAGCACATCGCACGAGCCTGTTGAGGAGACAAGATGAAGAAAGGATGTATTACAGATTTATTTTAAAACCAATGTGTTCTGGAGTTTTTTGGTTTGCTGAATGTGTTTGCAAATCTGTCTGCCACCTGTGTCACTTTATTTTTCCTTAAAATCGTAATTTCTTTAACATTTGAGGCCAAACACTTAGAAAGTCATCAATTTTATTGCAATTTTGCAGTGATCAGCAACCTTACACTTTCAGTCCCAAGTGCATTTGTTAACACTTAGGGCCTGTTCTGGTAAAGAAAAGCTATAGTTTTGCTAACAGATTCTGGTGTCCTGCTTGTCTACAAATGTTTTAAAAGCAAGCTAACTTTGCAAGTTTATCGGTAATCTCTGTTTTTGTAACTTTGCAGTAATTGGAGACCTTGCGGTTCTCCGCTGACATTCCCAAGAGCAGGATTTGCCTCAAACTTGTCTCTTTGGGATTTGTCGTGTGTAATCTGTGTCAGCTTTGACCCTCTCCTATCTGAATGAATAGGATTCCTCTGAGCCCTTGTTTAGCAAGAAACTACCTTGAACTGTTCTGGGAAGCAATTTCGGGTTTGGAGGCACCGGTTTTGTGCTGAGCTCACATTTTTGGTTGGTTGTTTTCTTAAAGAAAAATTAACCTCAGCTGAAATCACTATTCCAGTTATATATAGACCATCTTGTTTTGTTTTGTTTTGTTTTTTGCAAACCTGGGCACTTGTGTGAGCTCATCCTGTTAATTGTTTTACATCTGTGTTTATTTTGGTCTTAGTTAATAGCTAGCATAACATTAGCTGACAGAAACCGGATTTAAACCATGGTGGTTTCACACACACAATAGCTAATTGCTGGAGTTTAGAAGCATCTCCAGGGTATAACGTGCGCAGGCCAGGTCTGTTGCGGTTCAACACAACTAATGTTAACATCCTCAGGTCTTAGGGCAACCAAGATGATTAAGGGACTGGAACATCTCTCGTATGAGGAGCGACTGAGTGAGTTGGGCCTGTTTAGCTTGGAGAAGGGAAGGCTGAGAGAATATATGATTAACATGTATAAGTTCGTGAAGGGGGAATGTGGGGAGGAAGGGGCYAAGCTCTTCTCAGTGGTGGCCAGTGACAGGACAAGGGGAAATGGGTGCAAGCTGAAACACAGGCAGTTCCATCTCCAGGTGAGGAAGAGCTTCTTTCCTGTGAGGGTGACAGAGCCCTGRCACAGGCTGCCCAGGGAGGCTGTGGAGTCTCCTTGTCTGGAGATCTTCCAAACCTGCCTGGATGCCGCCCCGTGCTCTGGGTGTYCCTGCTGGAGCAGGGGSTTGGACTAGATGATCTCTAGAGGTCCCTTCCAACCTCAGCCAGTCTGTGATTCTGTGTGATTCTGCCTTACCTCGGTGCTCGTTAGCTTACAGGCACTATCGTGGACGAGATTCTCCGTGGAGCGGACGGGACGGGCGTCAAGTGYGGCCTGGTGGGGGAGATCGGCTGCTCGTGGCCCCTCACGGCGAGCGAGCAGCGGGTGCTGCGGGCGGCGGCGGCGGCGCAGGCGCAGCTCGGCTGCCCTCTCCTCATCCACCCGGGCAGGAACAGCGACGCCCCTGCCCACATCGTCCGCATCCTGCAGGAAGCCGGCGCCGACGTCTCCAAAACCGTCATGGGCCACCTGGACAGGTACGGAGGCTCCTGGGCCTGTGTCCTGCCCCGCCGCATCTCGGGCGGCTGCCGGGTTTGAGTCTGCTCTGGGGTCACAATGTGAAGAACTATCTTCGTGTTTGCTGCTTGTGAAAATACGGAACTCTTGTGCAGGGCTTGACCAGCTGCCAGCAAAGGCAGCCTGGCTCAGCACTTAAGTCCGTGTTCTTAGTGAGATTTAAGGGCTTTAAGTGCTGCCTTTGAAGGTTTGGATGTGAGATTAAGAGTAACTACCCACGTTTTAGGAAATGGGGATGCCCCTTGATCTGSTTGCCTCCACAAACCGCTGTGCTCAGAAACTTTTGGACATGGAGCAGCTCTTACCAAACAGTGTGGGAGGCTCTGGGGCTGCGTTTTTGAGAACTGGGGCACCCAAAAGGGCCTGACCAGCATCACATATATGTTGATGGAGAACTCATTGATTTTGCTGGATTCTGGATTAGAGCAGAAAACAGATTTTTTTTTTTCTACTGCCAGATAGAAAAAAACTGCTAAAACAACCAAATAAATAAATAAAAGCAGTTGAGTTTTATGTAGTTCTTGTTTTGGACCAAATAGGTAACTCTTAGTTCCCTTGAGAGCAAGAACCAGAGGCCCCACGTCAGCCGTGGAGAGGAATTGGTGCTCTTCTCCCTTTCCAATTTAGAAACACGGTCCCTTTACCAAATGAGGCTTGTGTGACCTTGTGTAGTTTATGATGAGTTGGAAAATGTCCAAGCATTGATTAGTTCATCTGGCTGCTGAAGAGTRGAGAGTGGCTGTGGTCGTACAACGCTCTGCCATCGGATTCGTGTCCCCGTTGTGAGTGCAATACAGGCATGAGCTCTGTGCTCCACATTTCTAATGGTTTTGTGTTCTCGGAGCTTTCAAATGAAGCTACAAGTGTTTTGTGTTCATACAGAGCTCAAGCTTTTACTTGGACATTTTAGAAGCATGAAATTTGGGCCATTGTTTTTATTTTTGTATTTGATTAGATAAATGACCTGTGCTTTTCTTAGGTATTTGCCTGTATTCCTTCTTATGTGTAGCTATATTTTTATTTTTAAGAAAAACTGATGACCTAAATCTTTGTATAGAAAAGGACTAGGCAAATTGCAGGTATCAGCATATTTGAATGTGATACCAATGTGCAAGGGTGGATGTTTTGCCCTTTTACATTGTTGGGGATCAGTGAATTCCCGGCTTTGTTGGTGGAAAWATAAACAGTGTAAGTAGGAAAATAGCGACGGCAGAGGTGCAGTTTCAGTGAGCAGCTGCTCACAGACTGGATGGTATTTCCTGATGCTGCTTCTCTCGCTGCTTTCACACATTCCAGCTGGCACTTGCCATAACACAGCCCAAAATTATTAGGAAGTTTGGCTTTGCATTTAACATTTTAAAGTCTTTTTTTCAGTAGGAAGAATCTATGTGGGACCATCCTGATCCCTTAAATGTGAGGTAAATTTGTGCATAGCTTCATATTTCCTGCCTGCCTTTGACATAACAACAGTTTCTGGGAGGAGCTGCAGCCAAATGATAAAATTAAATTGCTGGCCACCATGTTTTGCAGTTTAGCACCTTTGAACAAAAGATACCAAGTGTCTACAGGACAGGAATTAGGGGTGCAAAGGTGTTTTTGTGGACATCAGCATTGATTGATTTCACGTGACTGTTATGATGATGCTTTGGTAGAATCCCTGTGGTGAATCATGGATCAGACCCAAATCACAAGACGCTTCCCAGTGTCCCAGCTCCTTTCCAGGGACTCGTATTGCTAAATAGGCTCTAAATAAGCAGGTGAGCAGGAGCTGTGGCCACACGAGCGCGGCTCACGAGGAGCCCAGCGGCTGGGGAATTTATGCAGCTCCTGTTAGGACAGAGTGACAAAAGGGCAAGACCGGCAGTTGTTTAGCAAAATAAAACAATCCCTCTGTGACTGCAAAATGTAGGGATTTAAAAAAGAAAACTATAAAACCTCACACTGACACCCTCACCCAGGTATTAGCACCCTTGGGTGCTGCCTCCCTGTGACCTGAGCATGGCTGCATCTAAAGTTTCCCTCTCTCTTGTCCCGCACTGTGCAAGTCCATGTGGCTTTGAGATGCTCATCCGCTGTCAGCCGCAATGTCTGTTTAAAAATGACATTTTTTTATTCGTTTTTCATTCGTTATTCCTAGGCTGCTGCTGGTGGCAAGGCTGCTGAGCTTGGGTTTCCTCTCTCTCACCCCATCTGTTCCTGCTCCGTGGCCCTGCTGTCGTGTCGTAGCTCCCGAGCTGTGGCATGGGGCATTTCTGCAGCAGCAGAAAGGGATGTGATTGCCTGGGGCCGCATCGCTGTGTGACATCAGTATCCACAGCAAGAGTAACATCAGACTGCTTCTCTTTTGGTTGAATGTGCTGTCCTCATGGAAAGATGATTYGTCCCTATATGAAAAAGATCTCCTTGTGGTTACAAAGATGAATACAATAATAATTATTTTCCCTTTGTTTATTTGATACTTGAAGTAAAAATATTTCAAAAGAAAAACAAAAAATCATTTCAGAGAGCTGTCAGGACACTTGTCATTCTTTTCCAAACGAGCACTKGTGTTTAGGAGCTTTGTTCCTTCCAGCAAGTCCCTTTCCAAATCTGATGCAATCCCACATCCCAAGTCTCCCCAGTGCACTGTGGATTTGGGTGCGGATGTTTCCTGCAGGTGTTGTGGCCAGGTTCCAGTGCAGGCAATGATGTATCGCAGCTCTAATGACAATCTGGAAGCATCACTGTATGTGATAGAAACTAAAGGCAAAGTTGTGTGTTAATGGTGTTTGATGGATGGAGCAAGCCCTGCATGTGCCTGTCCCCCATAACTCTTTTGGGAAAGTAAATCTGTCTTGTGTAAGTTATCYCTTGGCTTTATTTAAAGGTCATTCTGAACTAACCTTCTCCTTGCGTGTCCTTCCCTGGTAAGTTGTATATTGAGAGGTTTAGTGAAATCAAAACTAGCTTTTCGTTTTCCATTTAAAGATAATTTTAATGTACGTACTATACTGCAGGGGAAGGGTTGGTTTTRTTTTGGGTTTTGATGCCTGAAATCCCAGCTGAATGTGAGAAATGTCGTGTATCACGTTAGTTTGAAGGTATCAAACGGGAGTCCCGTGTTTCAAAACAGTGAATTAACACTCGGATAATGGTTTCAATTCCTTGGGTATAAGAAGGTGGCAAGTACTTGTCCTCATGCCTTGAGACCTTTTTTTTCTTCCTTTAGCAATGATACCTTTGTATTATGTATGTTCTGCAGGACTTTCTTTGATACAAAGAAACTTCTGGACTTTGCTGAACTTGGATGCTACTTGGAGTACGACCTGTTTGGTGTAGAATTTCTCCACTACCAGTTCCAGCCTTCTGTGGACATGCCGAGTGACAATGAAAGAATTGCAAGGTAGCTACTTAATGCAGCTTAAGTGACAGCATCACCACTGACAAGCGAGGGGTGTAGGTGCACGCTGAGGTGCATCACGGGGACTCTGTGGGCTGCTCTCACTGTCATGCTAAAATTCATGGGKTTTTTTTTCTGCTGCTCTTGCTTTTTTAGAGCAGCATGTATAGCTATGTATAACTACTTATGTCTGCAAAGGAAGCTGCAGCACCTAGAATGTTACTTGAGAAAAGGATAAAAAACTAACTTAATTCGCTGTCCTAATTGCATGATAATTTGGTTGAATTTTGTCACTGAATTTGTAGACTCTCATGTTATAAAACAAAAGGTTGGAGATGCAGGATTTATGTTACTTTTYTTGAAACAGTATTTGAGATCTGATGTTGCTGCCATGCATCATCTCAGCCTATTACATCTGCTCCTGAATGTGCGGAATGAGCTAAACTCGTCGGTTGTCTTGTGTCCTGCGCTCCTATCCTACAAAATAGTCTTTTGTTCTTCCAAGCACTTTATCATTCCCCGCCCTCCCTTTCGCCCCTTCCCCCTGTGAGGGATGAGATCCCTGTCTCATCAGAGCTCTCGTGCTCTGCACTGCAGCCTCGTGCAGCTGCCTGACAGATCTGCGTGCTCTGCTAGCACCACGTGCCCGCGGAGAGGTGCGTTCCCTGCTGATCCCATGGGACACGGGCAYGGGGCGCTGGGAAAGTGCTTCTCACGCAGCCCCGAGCTGCCCCCTGCCCCTGCTCCTTGCCCACGGTATTCCTSCGTAGTCAGTGGCAGCTTTCCCGGGGTGGCATGTCATCCCACCTACCAGACTCATACAATTTCTTTCCTTCCCTCTCATGAGATGGCTGTTGTGATCCCTGATTGCTAATGAAATCCCTTTTTTAGCTGTCACATTTGTGCTTCAGGCATTGTTTTCCTGCCTGCTTACCTCCCAAATATTTCTTTGCTGTTTTCAGGACTGTTTCCTTCTTCAGAAGTGTTGTGGGTACTGTTCCTCTTACTGCCAAGTTTGAGAGCTGCTTTTCACACTAGGAATCTTTTCTCGCTCTTAACTGAGCTCTCAGTCTTGCACTCACTGTTTGGAACTGTTGTAATGAACCTCCAGCTTTCACATTTAAAATCTCTAACGTTGATTTTTGGAATTGTTCACCCGGGCTCTCCTGCTCCGCGGCAGGTCGGCACACATGGAAGCATAGGGAGGAAAACGCATGGAAAAGAGAACGGGCCTTGGGCAACAGGTGTCTGTTCAGCTGCAAGGTTTTATTCCATCTAGAATATCCTTCAGCTGTAGATGTCTCTCCTTAAGCTGCCTGGTACTTAGTACTGCAGGACCCTGCTTATAGGAAATAAATACTGAAAGATTTCTCTTATTTTTGGTGTGAATATGTGCCTGGGCTAGACATGCCWTTCAGTGGATGTTAGTGGGATCTCGCTGCATCCCCACTGCACGTATGGTAGCCCATCGTACTCAGTCTCCTCGGCAGCACCCGCGTGGTAGCAATCAAACAGACCCTTCCATTTATCTATGAAAATACTAAATGAGAAAAACATGTTATGCATTTATTCTTGTCTATCGTATTCAAAATATAACTTCTGTAGCCATATGCATCTGCTCAAATGCAGTTCAGCCATGTGAGTATTTATGGATTTGTGTGGCGAATTCTGCTAGGAAAGTTTTGCTCTGAGTCAGAAACAGGTACTAACTATAACTACAGAAATGTGCTCCAACAAGCAATAAATACAGAATGTAAAGGATCATATACCTCCCAAGTGAGTGCAGACTGAAAGGACGTTACTGTAACACCGAGCTTTGCTCTTATTCTCTGGTGTGCATGTGGTCTATGCGTATTCAGGGCTGTGGAAGACACTCCTGATGTTGCAATTCTACCTTATACACAGTGTTGTGCGCTCTTTGGCACTTTTTATGGTATTTTTATGGAAGGTGCTCATCTTCCAAGGGCTCTCTTACTTGCCATTTTCATGCTGACCAGATTTCTTTGACCTTGCTACATGTGTCTGTTCATAACTAATTAGAATCAGAAGATTTCAGAGAGAGTTTGACTAGGATTTGCCACGTTGATGATGAAAGCAGAGTCAGGAAAGTAAAAATTCAAACTAGGCAGTGCTGGACAGGGTTGGAAGGGGGTGGCTTAGTGAGCTTTGTTCAATTCATCTCCACCRTTTCTTGCTTGCAAACTACTGCCAATGCAAGTGGGAAAGCTGGAACGTCGTGGAACACTTAACCGTTGTAGGAGGCAGAAGTTTATACAACCACAGAACCAATTCTGTGGATTTGGTGCACAGAAGCACTGGCACAAGCCTGTGCAGCAGACCTGGTCGTCACAGGAAGAGGGAATTACCTGAAGGACTAGGGCTTTTCCTGAGCTGACTGCCTGTCATGTTGCCAATTCTGTTCCGCTGGGCTKCTGTATTAATTCCCCTGATCTGCTGGCATATGCCCGCCCTGTAGCACAAAGCCTGTGATGCTCATCTTCCTTGATGAACATCTCTGCCATGCGTTTGGCTGTTCCTGTCCCTATGGAGTGGCTTCCTGACGACATAAAAATGTTATTAACCTGGTTATTCTAAATGGGAGCGAGCTACGGATGTGAAAGCGTTTGCGTAGCTGAGCCAGACGCCCCGAGCAGCAGGAACAGGCTGGGCCTTAGCGACTGCACCGGGGCCAGCAGGGCAGCAGCCGCAGCAAGCGCTGAGCCCGGGAATCGGCCCCGCTGGAAAGCGGCTCCTGTGGAAAATTGTCGCCAACTCCTGCATTCACAAACTGCGTCCCGAGCTCGCTGGTGGAGCAATTCCTCAATTCCTGCCTCGACTTAATGGGACACGGTGTGCCAAGTGGGAAGAGTTTGTCCTTGCCCACCCCGAGTGGCGTGGTGATAGGCTGCTTTGGAGGTGGTTTTGCGCCCTATAAAATAAATGCTTTCATTTTAATTCAATATAAGAAACATGTCTTCTGTGTAACTAAAAATAATTATTTTCATTTACCATACAATTGAGCAGGACATTAGTGTTAAAAGGTTAAATACTGATTCCTTTGGTGTGGATGCAGAGTGAGAACCTTTCGCTGACAGGTATCCTTCTTCCTTTGGCAGGATCCGGACGCTGATCGATGAAGGCTACGAAGACAGGATTTTGATGGCTCATGACGTGCACACGAAGCACAGGTTGATGAAATATGGTGGTCATGGGTATTCTCATATCCTAAAAAATATAGTTCCTAAGATGCTACTTAGAGGCATATCCCAAAGTCAAATTGATAAAATACTCCGGGAAAATCCAAAGCGATGGTTGACTTTTAAGGAGCGATAATGAATAAATATTTCTAATTTTGAGTGACGCTTGATAAAATTTATATTTGTTTCAGGAGAGCAGTCATTTTAAAACCTGGTTCTCTTGAGATAAACTATGAGATATTAGTAAGATACCAACCATCTGATCATGACTTCCTTTTCTAATTAGCATAACAAAATTACATATTCTGTCTACATTTTCTCTCTTTTAAAATTCTGTTCCTGAATGAATTACTGGATATGAGCCCACCTGCAAAATCTTTTCAATGGAATTAGTAAAATAACTGTTTCCAGGGAGTAACCTAATTCTGTTGTTATATGTTATCCAAAAATATTTTTGATGATGTATCATCTGTGCTTTGGAGGAAATTTAGTGTTTTCAATTAAATTCTCCTCCTTCTGGCGATGATTTTAATCCTTGTAATATTGCTAATCTGCTGATCATGTTCATATCCTTTTAAGTAATGCTTAATAAAGAGTGTGGCACTTCTTTTAAATAGATTCCAAAGACAACAAAAGATAACAAAAATTTCAAATAATTCTAAAAAGAATTTTTCTAAATTATTTTTCTAAATAATGAGCCTATTTTAAAATGAAAATGTAAAAAATATATTTTTGAATAAAGCAATTTGTAAACCTCTTAAACTGTGTTGTTACAGATGTCTTTTTTTAATCACATTTTTTTTTAATATGCAATTTTTGGACCTTGGCACTGGTAATGTGAAATTTCATGAAGGACAGCTTTTCTTTGTAAGGATGCAACACCAAAAGTCAAAATATATTACATAATACAGTTTTAATGAGTCGCTATAGTTATAACAAAGGTCGTGATATAAGTCTTTACAAATCAGTTTATCAAGATATGATGAAAGGAAGAAATGGTTGCCTCCTATGTGATTTTTCACATAATGTTTGTTCTTTCCTCTTGCCTAACATTAACCAGGGCAAGTGATTTATCCAAATAGAAGGTCTTAAACTCAGGAGTCCGACCGCAAAAGCTTCCTTGAAGAAGTTGACCTTACATTTCTTGTGGTGATGAGCTGCTCCAATAAATAGCCTAGTAACTAAGCACTGCTCGTTGGGAATGCTCTCGAGCTTGGTACGTTGCGGGTTCCTACCACACAGAAGATCTCTAGCTACCCTGCTGGGAGTGCGCTGGCCATCAGAAGCAACTGGGGACTGAGGAGACGTGAAGTCAGTTACGCATCCGTTAGTAAAATACATTACGTGGTAGAAAAAAAAGCAGGAGTAACCACTACAACGTATGGATATAGGTTGGCACTTTGTCATAGAGCAGAAGCTTGACCAGTTTGGTGACATAACGCAAGCGGTTTGCAGCACAATGTCCCTTTACAGACCCTAGGTGAGCTAGACTAGCTGTCCTCTTGGCAAGCATAGACTAGCTGGGCATGGATTTTGAACAGGACACCTATCCAGAAACAGAARGAGTAATACGTGTTCTGCTTAAGAAAAGCTTCGCTCATTTAAACAAGAGATTTTTCTTTAGAGAGAGTCTTAAAATCTTCACCAAAATTTTACTGAGCGGTCAGTGCAGAAGAAATTTCTTTTGGTCACGATGGCAGACACTCTTTTAATGCAGATAAATCCGAGCTCATACCCTTGCTTAGTAGATTAGACGAAGTTGCTTCTGGCAAAGTACATGGAACAACAGAAATGCCTGGGGTAGCATCTCTGTAACAGCTTATACAAATAATACCTTGATTTGCCAAAATGTTAAAAAAAAAAATAACATAACCAACTATGCTGAGAAGCCAGTTAATTATTTTGCTAATATTTTGTTTTGGAATTAAGTCTGTGAATTTTAACCTGAGAGAAATAGATATCCTCCCTCCTCAAAAGAAAAGAAATAACAACTCCTTTTCAGAATATAAATATTCTGTGGCTATTACATCTATGACTGATTTTAAATCATTTTTATAACTATGTAACTCATTTTACCTATCTTTAGTTTAATTCTCCAAGTCATTAATCCTTTATACGGATTAAACTTCCTTGAGACTTTATATATATATATATATATATAATATGTTTATATATGAATGAGAAAAATAGGTTTTAATGCACACTTTTTTTTTTGCATTTAAATATCTGCTTCTTTCCTTGCATATGTGTTATCATTTTTGGTAATATGCTTATCTAATGTCCCTCTCATAGGCACGCCTTACTACAACTGATAATAAGCTACCATGGAAAAATTCTGTGTGACAGCATCTTCTCTCATGTCAAATCTCCCGTTCTTCCTCTGTGGGAATGATCCCTCTAACTTCAGTGAGACAAGACACTGAATGTGAATAAGGTTTTGACTCGTTATATTAATATGAAATTCTAGTTGGACATCAGCAGTGTGTTTAGTTGTAACTATTTAACTAAAAGAAGTTTCCAAGTACAGACTAAGAGATATTGAAGACTGATTGCTGCAAAGAAAATACTCTAACTTGGTCTGAGGAGATGCACGTTAGGCCTGCTAAATATTTACACAATCGACCATCGAGAATGGGCCTGAAAATTTGTCTAAATATGTATTTACACATGTTTACATATCAAGAGCCAAATCCCATTTCCACCGAAATCAGTGGGACACTTGCCATTGGCTTCAGCGGAATCAAGGATCTGGTCCAATATAATAGTTCGTCAGACAATARATTTTTCAGAAAAGAAAAGTATTTCTTCTACCCTTCTTTTTCGTTTAGAACACAACTAAGGGGAAGACAAGATAAACAACTTCAGTTGTTTGATTTTATGTTAAAAATCTAATGTAAACCTACAAAGCGGGAACACCGAGTTAAGGCTTGAAGCTGATTAGTTTCTAGTTTGAAGTGGAAGGATAAGAAAAGTACAAGGCAAACAATTCCTTTGGAGAGAGAGAGCGAGAGAGAGAGAGAGTGTATTTTGATACCTCTTCCCTTTATTGTCAAATCAGCCCTCACCACACTGAGTGGACTCCAAGCATCACTGTTAGCAAGTGAGTCACAAGAACCGAAGCTGATGTATGGATAAAGCAGCAAGATCATAACACACTGAAGTACCATATACACTGAAGAGATAACTCAGTGTCTTTAGGGTTTTCTTTTTTCTTTTCTATAAAAATCTGATCTATGTAGGACTTGGTTCACATGGACACTAACAATAAAGGAGTATTTGCTTTGGCGGTAGTGGATCACACATCTGTTGTTGGACTCGCTTCGTGATTTTTTTGAAGGTAAGGTTTCTCAGTGTCGTACAGATGTGGATCAGGTAGCATTTGTTTTTTCCCCACTACTGAGGTGTTCTCTGGTCGATCTCCGCTGGGGTGCTTGATTCATTGACTTCTGCCACGCAAATCCATTTCCTAGAAGAGCTTCATTTTTGGGCTGGTTTGGTGGGTCTTTTCACTCAACATCAGTCAGCATAAATAATAAATCCAGAAAATGTGCTGTACTTATTGTTGTTTCCTCCGTGTGCTTTCCCGCCATCTAATTTAATGTAAACTTCGTCTCCTGGCTCCAAGTGAAGCACCACACTGTTACTGGCATAGTCGTAGTTCTGATCAGCGTCCTGGGCGATTGCACTAGCCCGAACCTACATAAAATACATAACGAGCCGTTAGGAAACCTCAGGTAGTTTGTGCTTCTTTGCTGAAAGTTAAGCTTATCCTCTATTCAGCATGCACTGGTTGCCACAACATACATCGTAGGGTGGCTGTATGGATATTGCTTATTTTCTCCTATAATGCAACATTTGAATTGGAAGCAATAACCTGCCCATTTCTCAGTCATCTGATTAACACAATACCCCTTGCAGTCCTATAAATGTTTTGAGCCTTTGTTTTCTTTAATATATATATAATAGAGCTAGAGCTCTGCAGATTGAATCTTCATTGYACAAGTTTTACAATGTTTATGTCAGCGGAACAACTGCCTGACAGTGGTGAGGATCCACCGTGAGCACCTATTGATACCAGTCTGGGTATTTTCTAAAAGTGATATATTATCATCTGCTAATCGAATTAAAAGAAAATGCCTACCTACACATACATACATAAAAACAATGCACCCACAAGCAGGTAAGGAGTCTAATCCAGGCTTAGTAAGACTGTTATTGCCACAGTTCGTTAAGTAAATATTTATTATCTGTGCAAAAGAGGCACTTCTTAAAAATCACAGGTAAGTAATTATTCCAAGAGGTTAYGGAATTTACAAATGATGGAGGACTCCTGAATTGTATTCACAACTCTCACTTATACATACATTTTTTAATTCCCTTTCTCCATTGCCATTTCACTGCTGCCTCAATTTGACATGAACAGCAAACTGAAAGAAATGGGTAATTTCAAGCTGCAGGTTGCTTTCCAGCTGTTCCAGTCTGGGCACTTTAAGTCTCTGTTTATATATAATTTCATCCTATTTGGTCAAGTATTTAAACTYCTTTGTATGCAATTTATTTGGGTCTAACACATCATCTGCTTGTTACCTGTCTTTGTTCTAGCCTAGTTAATACACAGCAGTAAGTGATTTACTGATTTTGCAAACCTGAACTAAGTATTAATGCATGACTTGGCATACTGTAGTTTGGATTTTAYCTGTTCAGAATTGAAAAAAAAAGAAGGGAGAGGGGCTATAAGTCACAAATTTCCACAGGTTCCTTTCAAAGTTCAAATGATAAATTTCCATATTAAACTTTCATGTGATGTGCTCTCACATTAATATTGCAGTGTTAAAAAGGAGAGGGATCTTTACCATGCAAGACCTTCCAGTATCAGGTAGCTGAAAAAGAATCAGAGTAGGTGGAGATTTTTTGCACATCCCATAGGAAGAACGAGAAGAGCTCAGAAGAGATGCGTTGCAGGAGGATGCAGCACAAGTATTTGGGGACTTGTGCTTGGCCCTCATGCTCGGCATTCTTTACAGAGGTGGCCTGTTTTGCTGCTGTTTAAGCCGTGCTTATTCTCAGCGCAGGCTGTTTCCTCTGAACTAATGACTAGCAGGGGTGGGATTCAAGGCCTGGGAATGTTAACCCTAGGAAATACCCTCCGAAGGACAAGACTTGGGCAGAGAGCAAAAGGTTAATTCATGAGATAGATAGAAAATATGCCTGTGGGTAGCACCTTGCATGTTAGCAAACCAAAAGGTTTACATTACTTCCCAAATTGCCACTTATATCACAATTAAATGCGATTTAGTGGATATATATATATATTTTTAAATTCCTGTGGATAACAAAAGAGAATTCAAATTGTATTAGTGACTTTAATCAGGTATCTTATCATACAGAAGTCAGTATATGGGCACTGAACATAACAAGGGACATTTCATGTTTAAGCTTCCAGACAGGGCTTACTGCCAGAAAAAATGAAGGAATCACTGAGATGATATTGAAGGGCGAGAAACTGAAATGTAAACATTACTGTCTGGTATATAGTGACAAACGCCCTGCAAAATCCAGCGTGATTTCTCTGAGGTTTTTACCTCTTTTGTTTAGCTACCTGGTGTGTTTTCTTTCTAAAGCCTATGGATACAGCCTCTAATGAACTCTCAGTGTACGGCTGCAAGAGTGGTGGGGCTCAGTATTAAACCATTAGAGGGGTCTAAGGCTGCCCAAGTCGCATGCCTGCCCACCTCATCGCTCCCTACAAGCATGTGGGGGCATCGGGACACTGCAAAACCACCTCCGAGCCACGCTCCGTGATCCCAGCCCTGTTCTGCGTTAAAGCAAGCACTGTGCTACACTGGAGACCTTGAGATTCCTCACACACGTTGCTTAGGGAGCTTTTCTTCTATAAATCTCGCGCTTCTCAATTGTCTGTTTTCTCATTGTTAGAGAACACTGGATACAGGATATTATTGTGGTCTGGTTCTACTTAACAGCTTAATTTCAGTATTTCCAAGCTTTCTTACAGGTATTACACAAAGTTAATTCCTGTCAGATCAGGTCAGCATTTAGTGCTTCAAGTGTAAATCAAGCTCAAAAGGAAGCACTCCTGCATTTAAGCTGTGTGTCGATTTGAAATAATTTGTATACGATTTTTACCAAAAACATTTATCTTTGCATAAACATAAGCAAATTCTGCATGTCCTAAAATTATACAAACCTTTTTTTCTTTGAATCACCTGGAGCTGTTTTAGTCTCACGTGTGATACTGGAAGCAGTTACATTTGGGAATGGTTAGACTTCAGGCTCAATTTAATATTTATGATTAGTTACTTTAAAAAAAAATGGTATTAGAGGTTACTGGAATTTCGCTATTTTCCTGCTTTTGGGGAAACGAGCAGTTCGCAAATTGCAAGGACCAAAAGCAGKCTGGTGCCTCCACTGCAACTGCGCCCGTCCCGAGGGCAGCGCTGCCTTGGTGGGGAGCAGCGGGGGCGAAACGCGGCCGAGCGCCCGGCAACGTGCGGCGGACACGGTGCCGTGTCCCCGCCCGTGCCCCCTTATCCCGATCCCCTCCCGTGCCCCGAACAAGGGGCTTGTGCGGGGGCCCTCGCGCCGCGGGGACACGCGGGGGGCGCTGCGGGCTCCGCCGTTACCTGTTGGGCGCTCGCGGGGACGCCCGGCAGCGCGGGCGCCGCCGCTGCCCCATTGGATTCTCTTTCCCCCCTCTCCTTTCTTTCTCAGGGCGAAAAGCGCCGGGCAGGGGGAGCCGCGGGACGGAGCCGGGGCGCGCGCAGCCCCGCGCA